GAGCGTGTGTACTCGGCAGAGCATGAAGAGGCAGATTTTCTGGTAGCACAAGTCTGAGATGGGCTCTTGCATCTGGGGCTGGCTCAACCAACTCACCTCCCACAGAGCTCCCACTGTCACAGCTCAGAGAAGAGATACAGCAGCCCCAGGACATGAAAAAGGGAGGGGGCGCAGTGAGAGAGAAAAAGTCAGAGAGAGAGCAGAAGTGATAGAGGTTGCTCCCGGCTCATTTCTCTACATAGAAGCCCATCTGCCAGGCACCCATGGTGGGACAACATTGCTGCTCTTTGCCAAATGACAAAAAAAGGTCTGACACCACAGGAAGCCAAATGCAATCCCATGAATCCCGGCATCACCATTATTCCTCAGAAAGCCTTAAAAGTGCTATCTTTGTCCTTATGGTGGCTTGTTGATTTACTCTCAGTTCCATCATGACTTAAGTTGACTATAATGTGCATCAAAGAAGCTCTTGGTGCATTTTACATTTGAAATATGGTGATGGTGTATCTATTTTCTTTCTCACAGAGTTAGTTCCATCAACGCTCAACACCAGGGGGGAAAAGGGAATTGACTCAGAGACCACAAAATGGTGTTTGCATTGAGAATCTTGTGATATTGTAATATTTTCTGTTAGCACCTCAGGCTACACGCCACGCTTGGCTGTCGCCATGCAATGAGTTGCTCCGAAACGGAGCACATCTGGTGTTTATCCCCACCCTCTCACCCATTCCATCTCCGTCATTTTTGTTATGCTTTTGCAGAAATTGTGCTACTCTAAAATTTTAAACTTTCCACCCACTCTTGCCCCTGTCTGGTGCTGAGGAAGTGGCCTGCTCGAATTGATCACCGCTAAGGCCGATAATTCATTGTGATAGAGGCTCCATGGAGTGAACATGGGGGGTTGAGGCCATACACTGTCACCTGCATACTAATCAACTTAAGAGGCCAACAGAAATGCAAGAGTTGTGGTCACATGATCTGCTGTTTATTGTCTGATAAATGAGGGGTCACAAAGGGTGTCACATCCCTCAGAGCCATGTCTTGCTGTCTCAAATTCCCTGTCAAACAAATTCACAACACACGCATACGTGTACACTCACACTCCAACACACAACTAACCTCGTATCTGTCGTCACGGGCCGATACCGGTCCATGCTTGCAGCACTGTCAGCACACAGGAGAAACTAACTTCTACCTCTAACTCATGCAATTACTGTCCGTAATGTATTTTGGAGGAGCACGGCAATTTGATTATCAAAGCAACACACACTCAACCCTCAACACTCCCTGAAGTCCTGGAGAAGAGGGAGATAAATATTTCACTCTCTGTTGGGAAATGTGTCATTTGTTATGGACACATAATTCTTTTTGAAACTGAAGTATCAATCCAGGTCGCTCAGCACTTATTTAACCAACAAAACCATCTGGGCCACATTTCCCATAAGCACTGTAAATCGTACAAATGATCGTACGGATCATCTTAGAATTACAGGCTGTTTCCCAAAAACATCATAACTTAAGTAGCACTTGAAAATCATCTTAGATCTGCGCGTGGTTTGGAGTAATTGTAGCATGAGATAGACTCATGCAGCCACCTGCAAGACAGCCACAAAATTACATCTAAATTGAAAATATAGCTATGCTTACACTTGACACAGTACATACTTTAATTATAGAAAGACATTTATAGTAAAAAATTACAGTCAGAGTTAAGGGTGGGCGACATACCGGTAGACATGATTAACCGGTAGAAATTTGTCCACTGGTAGAGATTTTGGACTATCGTCTCTATTGCGGTTACACGTTCACGTGACGTTGCTGTGCTAGGTGGTCACGAAAGCTTATCGTTTGCACGCGTTTTTAAGCATTGCGGTTTAAAAACAAGTGATTTTAAGCCATTGAAATGCAATCAGCAGCGAAAGCGAACTCATTTCGCTATATGTGCGTGCTGTCTGAGAGACTGTTTCTAAGCGCTGTCAGAGAGGTGCGCACACGTGAAGACGGTGCTCATAGAGCACAGGAGTATTGAACAGAGTTGTTTTTGCTGCTTTAAAGGCCTTGAACAGTTAAATACACACACTTGTATGTGTCAATGCCTGTCTTTGCAAGTACATCCTTGTAAACACAGTAATTTAGGTCTTAAGTGAAAGCAAACAGCTGATAAAGAAAACACCTATGTAAAGGCCCCGATATACTGTACTCACAGCGAAGTTCTTTTTGTTCTTCATTTAGGGGTAAAACGAGGTTCGAATTACGTGAGCAGTGGTATACTGTTAGCAAACATCCCGACGCTGACCACGCTGCTGAAAGCGATGTTTAGATGAAAATGTAAATATGTGCCGCGCGCTTTCTTCTCAGTAACAAAATAAACACAACAAAAATGAGAAAAGCATTTTTATATAAAGATAAAGAAAATCATTATAAAGAAAATCATCTGATCATAGCAACATGGGTATGTTCGCACAAGCTCTGCAAATTAGCACTCCAGTAAAGTCACGTCACGTTTATTTATATGACATTTTATTCAATAGATTGCTTAAAAGCAAGCAGCTTTACAGTATCAAACATGAAAAACAGTATCAGTGCCTCATGTCATCAGGAGCACTTCATTTTCTACTAAAAAGCGGCTCTCCGGTGTGTTCATATTTTCACCCATGGAGTTCTTACCTCGACGGATTAAACAGACGAAATGAGTCAGAAAAGAGTTTGGTGTAAAAGAAGGCGGTCTCAGCACACACCTATTATTACATTATCGTCATGGACCAATGGTAGTACGAAGGCGTTTTGCAGGCAAAAATAACTATATTGTGATATATATCGTTGCCGTAAAATAAAATTACTCAAATCGTGGCATAAGATTTTGGTCATATCGCCCACCCCTAGTTAGAATATATGATTTTATATTTACTTTAATTCATTCATGTTACATTCAAATTAAATTCAAATTCAGAAACTACCATGGTTCACAACCATTGTACAAACATGAGTGGTGGCGTGACTTTTGCAGACAATGAATTTCAATTCATTTGGTGGAGATGTTATAATCAAGGGGAAAATTATTTGTGTAATTACACTGTAACAAAATCACCTTAAAACAAATCATAACCCCGTTTTAAATTGTGATGCCCTTGAAGCACAGCTTCTGCTTTCTATTGTGCACTCCACAATACTCAACAAACATGGCATGCATCATTATATTAGTGTCCGTGTTAGTGCCATGATCAGTCACATGATCTCAACGGGTAACTAGTTTCCATATCTCCACTGACCATGGAATCTTGCACCTCACTGATGAAACATTGCAAACGCACATCAGCTGAATGAAGCAATGATTTTGTAATACATTGTTCTGTGCAAAAATAATACCAAAGTTATATTGTGAAAATAATTAGGTTAAACATTTAAAGGTGGGGTATGCATTTTTATCAAAAATGCTTTAGAAAACTGAGTCGGGACGAGTACCAAAACAAACTTGTAGCCAATCAGCAGTGAGGGGCATGCCTACTCATGTTGCATAGGAGAGAGCGCTCAGTGCACAGGATGGACATTAGCCAAGCCGAGCGACGACAGAACAATAGAGATGGCGGATAAAAAACAAAAGAGGAAAACGTCTGCGGAACAAAATAAGGCTTACACCATGTGTACACTGGCCGCGCCACAACAGCTAAAGTCTGTCTACACTGGACGTGACAAAGCGACCATTGAAAATCATTTGAAATTTGTGTCAATACGTCATATATAGAACGTGGCAGCAGTTTACTGTCGGGGATTTGTCGTGCTGCGCCACATTCAGTGTAGACAGCATCAGTGATTATAATGAGTTTTGCTTTGTTTCACAGAACTAATCGTTGCCTGGGATGCATATGTACGTGTGGGGCGGAGCTATCAAAATAGGAGCGAGACCCTTTTGGGGTAGGGGCGTGTTTGTTTTGGTGATTTGAAATATCAACATTGGCTACCAGAAATCACTTACCCCACCTTTAATATTATAACTTATATATATGCATAAATATTTCCTTGACAAGTAATTTACAAGTATTTATAATGTTATGTTACAGCAGTGTTTCTCAACCCTGGTCCTGGGCGCCCCCCAGCACTGCACATTTTGTGTGTCTCCCTAATCAAACACACCTGATTCAACTCATTAGCTCATTAAAAGAAACTCCAGGACCTGAAATATGTGTGTCAGATAATGCCGAGTTCACACTGCACGATTTTCAAACTCGTCGGATCGCCGTTGTTTACACACTGCGTGACTATCTGGGGTAGAATTCAGTATTTCGCGGGCGTCGGCGACGCATTGGCGATTCCCTCAGATCGTGTCTTTGATAATTCACACTGCGTGATTGTCACTCGCGTGAACGAGCACCGATTTGCCTCCGATGTCGGGCATTTGTCAGCGATTTCGCAAAACCTGTCGGCGAGTGAAAAATTGGACTAAAATCGTGCAGTGTGAACTCGGCATAAGGGAGACATACAGGTGCATCTCAATAAATTAAAATGTCGTGGAAAAGTTCATTTATTTCAGTAATTCAATTCAAATTGTGAAACTCATGTATTAAATAAATTCAATGCACACAGACTGAAGTAGTTTAAGTCTTTTGTTCTTTTAATTTTGATGATTTTGGCTCACATTTAACAAAAACCCACCAATTCACATCTCAACAAATTAGAATACTTCATAAGACCAATAAAAAAAAACATTTTGTGGCTATCGGCTTGGTCATGTGTGTAATTGCTTCATGCTGCCTCAGACCCTCAAATGCACCAATGTAAATATTAAAAAGAGCAGAGGCTTAATAAAACATTGTTCAAACAAATATAGAACGGATCTTGCCGCGGCTGTCCATCTGCACCGGGCTCTATCTAGATGATACCTGTTACATAGTCAGAATAATATAAAAGGAGAAATGAATGATTTCAAGTGAACATAGAAACAGAGACACAGAGGAAAGGAACGGGAGGGGCAGAGCAAGGAGGGGCAGACCAAGAGATCAGTCAGACTTTTTAATTGTATTGATTGGCTATAAGGCTACCGAAGCAGATGAGGGCCGGCCTGATATCCCCCTGTCACCTTGACCTTGGGCCAGGAGTAGCCTTGTGACCTCCGACCCTATAACCCCAACCGCCGACCTCCGTAATCCTGCTGCGTGGACAATCTACAGGGAAAAGCGTCACAGTTGTCTCCAAATGAGAATTGACTTTCCTCGCCTTGAATGCTGGAAATGTGGGTTAAAGTATGTCAATAATGTTTCACAAGAACAATTTTCCCCCCAGTATAGTCGACGCTGAAATTAATTGACATTTTTTGCAGAGGAAGGGTCCGGGCCTGCGCTGTACGAAAGCACTTGAAGGGAGTTCTTGGACGCTAACCGCTTGGCCGTATTGATCGCACGCTTAAAGTGCACACACACACTCTGAAGAGCATTGAGATTCAGACACAGGGCACAGGGGTGGGGACAGAAGAAATAGCTCTTTCAGCCCCGTGGCATAATTACTTCAGATAGATTGCAGCAGGAATTGCGTGTCCCTCACTGAAACAGTCAGGTGCCATTAATTGCCCTCTAAACACATCATTCAGGGTTGTTTTCAGGACATCTTTGGACTCCTAATAAAGGTAAAGTGTTTGATTGAACTGATTGCAGCTGTAGGTCATCAGGAAGCAAACTCTCGGTTCTAGCTCGTGAAAAATTACACTGTTCAAAGGTGTTGATGTGTCAGAACAATTACAGAGTTTGAATACGACAGTCTAGTTTATACTTTCAGCCCTCAGGAAAGACATTCTTTATTAGCTGGTACCTTTAAGAGTAAATCTTCCTATATTGTGTCTTATATCTGGACTAAGCTTGATAATTATGTAAATCCAACCAGAACTGTGGCAATGTGTACTGACAGACACTCTGCTTTCATTGAGCTTATTTATTTGTCCAGCTCTCGCCTGCTTTAGCCCAGCTGTAGCTGACAATTTCAACTACAGCAGTTCATTAAAGGAGATTTCAATCTTCGTGCAGCCTGTTCAGTGCAGACTGTTTGTATCTGCTTTCCTTTGCGAGCTGCCGATGGTAACCCTGTTTACAATAGCTGAAAAACAACTCACAGGTCCATTTATTCCCAAGCAGCCTGTTTTCCTGTCAATATCTCAGTCAGGTTTGCCATTTCAGTCACTATACTTAAGTAAAAGACATTGTTTTAAATGGGCAATTTGTATTGTCAGGTGTACTTGGAAGGAAACAACAATATTTTAAAAAACTCCTTGGAACAACATTTTCTACATATAACTTCTGCCTCATGGTATCATGTATTGTACGTAAGCACATGATTTTGACTATCCAGTATCTGGTAGCTAGTTGACCTGACACCTGTGTGACCTCCCTTTACTCTGAGCATTTGTTTGTGTGAACTGTTTCAACAGCCGAATTGACAAAATGGATCCAGTCCAAGAGTTTATTCCCATAATGTGTTTGTCAAGCTTCCGACAGTGACAATATAGCTCTTCATCAGGCCACTCATCAACACATGTAGCTCTTCAGTCGTTTCATACTGTTTGTCTAATGGACTGTCCATTTTGACACACTGGAGAGAGTTTTTGAGTACTGTTTCATCTCCGCTAAGTGGCCATTTAATTAATGTCCAATAATATGTGTCGTTTATATAAATAAACACTGGAATTGGTTCAGACTTTTCACATAACACCATGACAACCACAGGATACATGTATTTTTACTGTTTAAAGTGTCTGGATTTACAGCTCGAGGTGTCTTCGGTTTCCTGTGAGTGACTTTTGATTTCTCAAATTTCAAGGAATCCAAACTGCCGTTACATTCAGGGAGGGTTAAACTTTGCCATGCAGACTCTGATTACACCTTCATAATGAAGTCATTTTCATTTTTGAGTACCCTTGGCATAGCTCCAGTTACTCTGAGATGGCTACCAGATGTCCAGACACATCTCCAAAGACTTTCTGTATTTTATTTCATTTGGATGAAATTGTATCTCTGCCTCATACGAAACATTTTATTTATATGTATATAAACACTGCTAATATGCGGTCTGATCTTAAACTAAGTGCTTAAATATTGATAATAACAAGTTTTTTTTTAACAATCAGTGGATACCATATATTTATCAACTAATGAAGGTAATTGAAATATGTGGTTTTGTATATTTAGTAACTCATAGAACCTTATAATAATTTGTGAAAAAAGTGTTTGGATTAGGAATATACTTTTAAAAATGTAGATCCGTTTTTGACTTTATTAAATACAATTCAGTATATCACCATTATACTAATACTAATATTATTCATACATTTTAGTATAAAGGGGACAGTTTAACAGCTAATGTAAACAGACAGAATTTTGCTTGTCAAACACAGCAAGTGTATTAACAAGAGGTCCAGAGGAGCAGGAAAAATGCACTGAAATATTTATACCGGTTTGATTCAGATCACCCCCTAAGGATGAAACACACACACAAAAAACATGCAATCTGTGAATAGCCACAGGCAAAGTAGTAAGAAGGTCAGACCTATAGGTTTTTCTTTACATGGAAACCCGCCCATCAAAAGGAAACACAGAAGGACGAGAAGAGATACATTCTTCACCTGGGAGCACAAATCTCAGCTTTGGTGGGCTATAGATTTCCCCCTCCCTTTTCCTGTTGTTTCAGACATCTTTCCTCATTTTACAGGGATCAAAAATCCATTTTGGATCATCCGTTCAATATTAAATCTGGCAGGTGCTTGTATACACAACAAACTCAATTTATGCTAAGGTTTTGAAGTCTTTCACAGCAGCATCAGTGGCCAACATCAAAGAACCGCTGTTTCAGTTTTAATACCGCAGCAAAAAGGTTTTGCATCTTCATGTCAAGTTGAGAGATTCAACAGAACGTAATATTTTCTAATTCTCCTTCTGGAAGTTCTGTTTTCATTCTTATTACCAGTGGTATGTAACAGTTTTCTGCTAGTTTTTAATTTTTATGTTATTTCATGTTGCAGTGATACCAAAGAGATTAAAGATTATTCAAATCTCTCTTTATGCACCCAAAGTGTCTGAAATATACACAGATGTACCAAGAATGCACCCAGCATTCAAAAAAATAAAAATAAATAACAACAGCATTCTATTTTAATCATTCTGAAACTGCTTCAAAATAATAACTAAATAATAAATAAGTGTAGCATGCTTCACAGGTTCCTTAATCCAATTTCCAGTTTACGAAGTTCATTTCAAATCTGCTGATCATTGACCTGAACCCCGAGTTTCCCATGACAACTCCCGCCAGAAGACGCTTTGTCTCTCATTTCCCCCATGCAGTCAATGAGCCTGGAAACATAGCAATAGGAACCAAGCCCTCTGTGCCTAATGGACAATTCTAAATCCCACCAAAGGGGTCCTTGAGGGTCAGACTGAGACAAGCCTGATTTTGAATCAATTTTGAATCAGTTGGACGAGAAAATGTCACAAAAAGAAAATCTGTCAGTCAAAGCATCTTATAAAAAATGCCCATATTATGGGCTAAATAAAATGTAATGTAATTACAATCCAGCAATTACCCAGTAAAGCCCAGACATAATCGATAGGCCATCAGACAACAGGTCACAATGTCAGAGGTCAAGTGTCATAGGTCATTGCTAGCTTGGTCCAGCCTAGTTGGTGTACTTGTGTGTGCGTGTTCAGTATAAGAGATGATGCTGATTCTGAGCTCAGATAAATATTGGTCTGAGCAGAGAGCCCAGTGAGATACAGTTCTGAATAGATTATCTGTGCCACATGAGGCAAGGTGCAATCTATTGACTGGGTTACTGTGCTATTTTAGCCCAGAGTAAAGGACCTTTAAATTATTTTAGGTGCAGTTGCTTCAAATGCAACGGCTAAACTTGAAAGTGCAATATTAGCTCACAACAGAGGGGGCTGATAATGAAATTACAGTTTAGTTTAAGGCTTCTGTTTGGTATCTGTATAACGTGAGAGAGGCTTTGATCCCGTTTTGACCATGTGTAGACCGAGTACAGTTGTAACACTGAATATTTCCCTTCTCAAGCAAGTTTGAACTGTCATCATCCATTTGCACATTCACAACAGCATCCTCTCTTTGTGTGGACATTTTGAAGTGCGTAGCCTACATTCGTGCAAAGATATTTGAGAAAGACTTTTTGAGGAGTATGTTTTACATTGTCTTACTCCCCTTTCATTGTGTTTAGATCATTTTTCCTGTCTGATAATAAAAACAAACTATGCCTGTTGTGATTCCTGATTTGTCTTCTTCAAATTAATATTTTTTTGGGGGGAAATGCTAGATTTTAAGTTCACTGAGAAAATCAACAAAAAGATTGTCAGCTGGGACAGCTGAAAACTGTAATAATTATTAAGAGCATAAATAAAAAAAAATACTGAATGGATATATATATATATATATATATATATATATATATACATACACATTTAAATAATGAGAGTATAAAATGTGACAGAACATTTAAATTTAAATTAAGCCTACACTGTAAAGTTAAAAAATAAAAATAAAGATTATTGAAGTACAATTTACAAGAACATACTATTTCAGTCCTTCTACTTCAAAATGTAACATTCAATTCAATGTGTTACTTGCCATTAGTAATTATTTATAAAATATATTAACAATATCTGAGTGAAAATTTCTTTAAAACTATTTATTTTCAGTGCAATGGCTAAATTAGCACATTTAATAAGGAATATTGATGAACTAGCGGCAACTGTGGACAGTTATAATCAAATCGCTACTTTAACCATTTATTAGGGAAAATATGAATGTATTTATTCTGGTCGGCATTTGTGCACTACAGCAAAAAAAAAAAAAAAAAAAGAACAAAATAATGTATCCTATTATGAGACAAGGATGTTTATATTTTGCTATAACACTGTGATAAAAAAAGAGATGAAACTACATTAATTCATTGCTGATTATTACTTTATTTATTTTGAAGGTTGCATCATGTTTAAATCTTGCATATTATTGGATGGTTGCAGTGGAACGATGTGAATCCAGTATAACTAGAGGAAAAACTCGTTTGGGTGCATGGTGAGTGAATTACCGTCATATCTCCCAGTGCTTCGATGAGCACTCCGAGCAGGCTATGGCCCATCAGCACGCTCCTGCCGGCTACCAGCATGTTTTGCCATTTGTAGCCGCACTACACCTCTGCCCGCTCTGATCCGTGACCCTCTCTGGCACATTCGGGAGGGATCATCCAAACGTCATGCAGTACATCATCTGCCCCATCCTGTGTTAAAACACCCCCTACCTCACCCCGCTCCTCAGCTCCCAGTGTTTCTGTGAAATATGTGCAACTTCCTATTTAAATTAGGAGCCCCTGAACCATGAAGAACACCACAGGTATCGGTGGAGGAGGCATCCGGCAACGATAGCGGCCTGTGCCAAGCAGCTCGCACACTACAGACACACAAGCATTGGGCTGTGACATATTAAACGCAGGGAAAATAAATTACCTCCTCTCTGATGACTTATGTGCTGTGTCTTCAGACTCTGCACTGCTCATTGGGGAAATCTCCCTTTTTTGGAAGTGGTTGAACTGTGATTTTTTTATTTTTTTATTTATTTATTTATTTTATCAGCAGTTAATTTGGCACAGTTACAGGAACAAGGTTCCAAACAGTTAACAACAGTTTAAACCATGATTTGTGTGATTTGGTCATCACAAATAATAAAACTAATTAGACACTATTTATAAAGATTAAAGGGAACCTTTTATGCAAAATCCACTTTTACATGGTGTTTGGACATAAATGTGTGTTGGCAGTGTGTGAACACAACCACCCTACAATGATAAAAATCCACCCACTCCTTATTTTTTAATCCCCATTAAAGGCAGGGTATGTGATTTTTCAAAAACACTTTAGAAAACTGATTCGGGCCGAATCGCAAAACAAACTTGTAGCCAATCAGCAATAAGGGGCGTGTCTACTCGTGATGTGGAGGAGAGAGCTTTCAGTGCATGGGACGGACATTAGTTGAGCCGAGTGACAGAGAGATAGAGATGGCGGATAAAAAACACAAATATCAACATTGGCTACCAGAAATCACTTACTCTACCTTTAAACCAAATCAGTCTAATTAGACATGCCATTTTGATTCTCTGAGCATTGTGATGTCACAATGTTTAGGCCCCGCCCACGGTCGCCGACTGACACTGCCGTATTAGCAAAGACCCCACCCTGAGTGAGCCACACACAATCCGCCATGTTTATCTTCATGCTAGAGCATTTAAAAGCAGCATTCAATTAGAAATGTCTTCTTATTAAAACTATAGAAGTTATTCGGTCAAGAGCAGTGAGTGATTTTCTGTTTTTATTTTATTGTTTGGGTGATAACAGCGTAGACAGCAGTAGGTACTGTATATTACACTGCTGTCACTTCATACACAGATCTAATATAAACATGCGATTTCATTCTCAGCTGTTTACCTTCACAGACATAACTGACTGTTTTTGTAATGCTTTTAACATAACCTTGTGTGTATTTGAAGTAGTTTAAGCACAATAAGACATGAAAGACAACTTAGTTTAGTACTCACATGCCGTGTGACAGCCGCTTTCTGTGCGCTCAGAAAACACTATATCAGATGTTTAAACTGATATGGCTTTAAAACGCATGCTTTTAGCGTGATATACACGATAATCAAAACCAAACAGATGCTTTTTGTTCGAGTATTTGAGGTACAAGCTGTAAAGTCACAGCCCTATTCTGGAAAAGGGGCGGGGAGCAGCAGTTCATTTGCATTTAAAGATACATGCACGAAAACAGTGTGTTTCTGCTTCCACTCAAAATAGGCATTTTCAAAATTATATAAATTATCTGTGGGGTATTTTGAGCTGAAACCTCACAGACACATTCTGGGGACACCTGAGACTTATATTACATCTTGTAAAAAGGGGCATAATAGGTGCCCTTTAAAAAAATTAATTACAACTACGCTAGAAAGGATAAAAAGGGTTGCATGATGAGGCAGGTCTGCACATTTAACGGTAATAAGATAGAAGCAACATAGTTTGAGACCAAATGTTGGTTTGTTGTCATAATTAAAATTATATTTACCAAATACTAAAGGGAAAAAAAACAAAAACAAAATCATAATAAATGATAATTTATAGGGTTCAAAATGGAGTGTGATTAATATAACGAACACAACATTATTATAAATAGAGAAAGTGGCATGAGTGGACTTTGTTTAAACACAGAATTGTGAGACAGAAACACACACTTCTGAGTTTACATCTTAGAATTCTGAGTTAATATCTCACAGTTGAATAGCGAGTTTATATTTTGTTTATTTTTTTGCAGTTCAGAGATTATATCTCGCAATTGTTAACATCTCACAATTCTGAATTTATATCTTAATAATTCTCAATCTTTTCCCAGAATTGCAAGGGAGAAAGGTTCAAATTGTGAGATATAAATATAAGATATAAACTAGCAATTCTCAGAAAAAAAATGTAATAATTTAAAAATTTTCATTTAAGTCACTTTAGATTTTTTTCTTTTTCTTCATTTTTTGGCAGAATCGGGCTTCCATAGGACTGGGACATTCTATTATCTAACACATCTAAAACTTCTCACAACAAAAAACATGGGACCTGTGCCTCTAATGCTTTGATAGGACATCAGTGTGTGAAATGACTCTGCAAATCATCTGTTGGTCTTTATTTTTATTTTTTTATTATCTGTTGGTCTTTAAGAGATAAGCTGGTGAAGAATATGGAAATGAGGTACAATAGTTTGTCATTGTACAGAGAAATTGTGGTATCACCTGCTCCACTCAATCCATCTGAAACTACTCCCGCCATTAATCTTTCACTATATCAAGATGAATTATAGATTAAAAATAGATTACGTACATTACTGCAAGAAAATAATAATAAAAACATTTAACTACACTGTAAAAAATTTTCACCCCTTTCAACTTAAAAACGTAAGTTTTGTGGCTGCCTTAAAATTTAAGTTAAATCAACTTAAAAGTACAAGTCATTTCAACTCACTAATTTAAATCTTGCCTAGTGCTGAATTGTTTTATTGAAGTTCATTTGACTTTGCAATATTTGCTGTTTCAACTTAAGTTAAAAATTTTTAACATTAATTTTCTAGTTATGATAATGTAAACTTTATTTCAGATCCAGATATTGTGGAACGACATGAGAGTGAGTAATTAATCACAGAATTTTCATTTTTGGGTGAACTATCCGTTTAATAGGCCAAACCACACTGACCGGTGGTTATTTGGTACAGAAATGCAAAACTCACCCTTCATCCAGACGCAGAATCACAAGCGTGCGCCTGAAAAAAAAAAAACAATTATTCAACTTAAATTTACTTATAAACAACACGCACACAAGCAAAGACATTTCCTATACAACAGCCTCATAACCCTTTAATAACCTGAGTTGCCTAAAAAAAAATATTAAGATGGATGGTGATTCTCACTTTAATGTGCTCAGTCATAGCCTACAAAGGGAGGTAAACGGGAAATTGTTGGTTACTTGCTAATTACAGTTAAGCCCAAAGATGTAAGTTACACAACACTTTTGCAGACTTTTTGTTCATGATTAAAATATGACCGATTCATACAACATAATGCATTTGTTTGCATTTACTGTTACCTGTAATCTGTTACCTGTAAGCAATTTGCAATCGTAAAACAAAATAATATATAAAATATATGATGATGGCCAGTAAAATAACAA